TTGGTTGAGTAATATTGTACTGAGGGGTAAAGTAGAGAAGTGAGAAGAATTATACGTCAGGGGATGCAAATTTTGTAAAACTTCCCATCAAGTTCTGGTATATCACTTCAAACAGTTGTTTAGTTGTACAGCTTATCCAGCCAGAACCAGCTTGAAGCAGAGGCTGTTTGAGAAATTCCCTACTTTAATAAATGCTTCCCTGTCTTATTCCACCTCAGAAGTGCTTTCAAGTAATGTAGAGTGTCCTGTTTCCTCTGCAGCAGGAAGGGTGAGGAGGGGTAATGTGAAAGGTAAAAGAGGGGAGAAAATAAAGCACTGTAGACATAGCTAACTAAGAAGGAAGGAGATGCTCTTCCCAAACTCATTTCTCGAACCAGCCATTTAATAAATTAGGAAAACAAGCACATAAATACAACCCAGTGTATACTGAGTAGGAAGTGTAACTGCAGGTAACATAAAATTGAACATTTGCTTTCACCTTTTCCCGTCTTCCATTTGTTCTGAAAATGCATAAGCTTTCCAGACTTGTTAAAGAGATAATTTCTGTGAGCAGGACCATAACATACATTGATATCTGTGTGTACTATAAGCACATCCATAAAACTTTAGGTGTGATGATGACAGCACTAAACAAACAGACTTCTGTGACAAGAGATTTGAATGTGCTGCAGAAATTGCAGTCTTTCAGGGTATCACGAATGCAGAAACAAATAAAAAATCTCTTAATAAACACAAGCATTTTACATTTTATATGTGTTTTGAATTGTGAGGGCTACCGTTTAGAAGAACCTACCATTAAAGATTTGAAAGCACTCATACACACCTGATAAAAGCAATGTCCATCTTTCACATTTTACAGCCTAATAAGGGAACCTGTTTTATTAAGTAACCTTGAAGGAACTTTCCAAATTGAACAAAGAAAATGCAAATCTATAGCAATTCTGTTCTTAAAGTTAAATGGAACACTGATGATAAAGTACCTACGGAAAAAACACCCAACAATCTTATTTTTAAAACATGGGCAAATGTAATTATTTAGAACAAACTGCTACATGAATCACAGATGACATATTTTACAGAAAGAAAAAGCATGGCTAACATCCACCTCTGCAAGGAATAATCTTATATTTTGGTGTAAGTGCTGTCTCACTGGATTTGACAGGTCAAAATGCTACAAAAACTACATTCTGCAGTTAAAAGTAAACTCTTACACTTGATAATCCCATACATGCTAAAAGTCACTCTGTGCTCTTGTACAGGCTGAAATAGAAAAAAAATCTGCATTAAGTTAGCATTTCAGTAATTGTACTGAGTTATCTGAGTTCTGTTACAAAACTGCAACAATTTGTGAGAATAATAAAAGGCAGTCTGATTAAACATAATTTAAAAGTCACCTGCTGAGCACCTGTATCAGCTGGCTAAAACAGTATTAATGTTGATGCATTTAGCTAGCTATGAAATTCTTTAAAGTTGGCAGCATCCCTTGAAAATGAAAAAAAAGCAGAGGAAAGAAAAGAAGTAATTAGGTTTGTGTGACCTTCAAGTACTATTAAAAATCCAGAAAAGATGGAAAGTCAATTAAGTGAAGAAATACTTTTACAAGTTTTTTGTTTTTTGGGCTTTTTTTTTTTGGACTACAGTCAGTATTTTCAATATATATAATAAAAATAAAAATTGTTGTTGGTAAAAAAAAATTAACCCCCATCCCTTAATGCCCCTTAACTTGAGGAAGGGCATAAAACAATTCTAGATATTCCTTAAGCTACATCTGTATGAATGAGGACATCCTCCGTCTTGAAAACTTTCTTTACTGTTTTAGAGCTGTTGTCAATCCAGTGTCCTTATGTGCCACATCCTACATATCCCAAATTACAAAAGAAGGTTTTAAACTGGAGTGGACTTGCATTTCCATTGGTGGTGTTGCTGAGAAGCAGAAGTGCAGAAAATGAGTCTAATTGTATGAAATTAAAAATAGAAACAGCAAAGCATTCATCCTCCTAATACATAAATCCGTACGGAGTCATACTATTTTCCTTGTCCCATTAATGTGGAACATTATCAAAAGGTCTTTGATATAAACATAGTTACAGAGGTGGTATTCCACTTAGGGTATATGATTACATGACACCAGACATTGCTGGGGTGAATGTTAGAGGGGTGTGGTGCGTAAAAGACCTCCTACATGGTATGGAAAAGGTAATTTACACACATGGTTCATACAGTTAGTTTACATGCCCATCATCTCAGCAGCTATACTGCAGTCATTTTGTATGGCCTCAAAAGCATTTTTATTGCTGTATAGATATCCTTGAATGATGTTATATTAACCTAGATCACCCTGGTGTTACCTCTGTTTTTATTAATGTGACTCTGCCTTCACTGAATGACACCTTTCAGTGTAATACTGAGATCTGCAATGCCTGTTTGTTGAAAAAGGACAAGGCTTTTTCCTTTGCTGCTTTCTTAAAACCTCTAGGTGTTGTGGAGAATATGCTTTGAGAATGTAATTTCCTAGGCTTTTTTTTCCCTCTGTTTTGTTTCCTTTTATTTACTGTCTTTCTACATATTTGACCTTATTATAAGTGCAGAATTCGCAGTTATTTTAACTGGAGTTTGGCAACAGGACTAGGGGCAATAGGGTAACAGCTGAAGTAGCTTTTTAAAATCTTTTATTGTAGTCTGTAGGTGTTGTATCTTTATTGCATGTTGCTGTGTGAGCTTTTCAAATGACCAGTCGATACATGTCACTTCAAATATTTTACAGTGGTTTTTATACTCCAAAAAATCTAATTTTTCTTGTGTTTGTAGTGTTTCCAGTCCTGTAGTTAATACAGTTTAGCTCAATACTGCTCAGCAGTATTTATCTTGTTCTTGCAATTAGCGAGGTAAGGGGAAAAAAAATCTGGTTTTTTAATATCTCCATTAATCATAATTATCAAGTGAGATCTGCAGCAACTGTTTCTCTCTTCGTTTATATTAAGGCATGCATGCACATGCATGTAAACATACTCGTGTAAATTCTCCCTTTTTGTCACAGCAGATACCGGCCTTATGACAATCAGTAAGAGCAGTTCCACCTAGTATATAATGAAACTGTAGGAAAAACCCCAAAGCTTTACCCCAAACAGATATTGTTTCTTTCATAGGTGTTCACTGTTACCACAGGATAATTGAGCAGTTCTGAGCGGCCACACTAAATAATGTGAGGTATGAAAGAATGTAACAATTAAGTTCCCATGATGAATAGATTTTTTTTTTCAGAAAACAAATACACTAGAAAATGAACTTCAAAATTGTTTAGCAGTGGAAGATAGAACAAATAGCTAATTTCTGTTCTTTCTCATTAATCATGCCACAGAAGGGAAGGTTTATTTCTGAAAATGCAAACTCTCCACAATTCTTAGTTTATACTTCGAAATTGTTACAAAATATCCCAGTCTGCACAATGAGACTAAAGTGAAAACCTGGTTTATCAGTTTTCTAGCAAGCTATGTGATGAGTATGACCTCTTGTGTTAGACATGGGAATATTAATTGTTTTTATTTATACAATGAAACAAACAAGAAGGTAGACAAAATATCTAAAAGTTTGCAATAGCACTGTCTGTATTTCAACAATAATGGACAGCAGAAGCAGAGGTATCACATTTGGGACTTGTGACTTCTATTTATGAACTAGAAAAGTAAAAGCAATAATTTCCCCACATAGCACAAAGATACCAGGTATTTTAGTATAACAAGACCTTAAAAATATTTTTTTTTTCTTCTTCACAGTTCTAATATAAGCTTCCATGATCAGAGTAAATGAAGTTACAGGACAGAGCCTTGGTGACTTCTAAATAAAACATGGAAATTTACAAATTTTTTAAAAGGCTTTTCAAGGTAAACTAGGTCATGAGAATTTATCTCCTGGTAAAATGAAAGCTTAAAAGAATGTACCTTTAAGCAAAATTAAGGACACAGCATGAACAGAACAGGAAAGATGAAACCTTGCCTATCTAATTTTAATTAGTTCACAAAACATGTATTTTGAAAGCATGCTTCAGCAAGACTTTTATTTACAGAATAGTAGAAGACCAGGTTCCCTGGGATTTTAATTTTCAAAGATTCCTGAGATTCACGTGTGTTTCAAAACACAGGTAAAATGGGACAAGACAGAATTACAGCATTGTGTTTTTTCAAAGAAGCTGTGATAAACAGCCTATTCATTCTTAAGAATAAAAGCACCTTTTATCTTGACCATTGGTGTTCAGGGAAATTAGTGCAATATTAAACATCCAGATACAGTTCCATGTAACTTATAAACTAAAGTATTTTATCACTTGTGTAATGAAGTGTGTGGATTTTTATTCAAAACTTGGTAGTACAACAGATTTTTGTTTATCACAAGTCATCATGATTTTGTATATCACACATATTCCCACTTATGAGTGTTTTTTCAAAATAACATGCTATGTAAACATAACTAAATTTTGGGCTGTCTCTAAGTAATTTATCTATATTGTAACCCATGATATTTACTACATTAGTGAGGGTTGTTTCATTGTGTGGGTGATACATGTACTTGCTTTAAAAGCTACATCTTGATTAGGAATTAATTAAAATTTTATAACAGAGGATATTTAAAAACTTTGTTAATGACACTGCCTCACTCATCTTTCTAACCTACAACAACGCATCTAAGGGTTTCAAAGGAAATTGAATGTCACAGGAGACACAGAAATTACAAGGATGCAGGCTTTTATCCTAGAAAGGCTTTTGGTGGGTTTTGTATTTAACATTGCTGTGAAATTAAAGATGTAAGTGAATCTTCCATGCTATGAAATATTGACTGGGGGGTGGGGTGGGGGTGGGGGGGGGGGGAAATAAACCCCCTCTTATAGTCTTGCCTGGCTGACAGTTGACAGGAATGACACATGTAACAAGGTAAATCACTTCTCATTTCCATCATTCTTTCCTCAAATAATCATTCCTTAAATAAATGCAGAAAGGAGACTTTACCTGGTGCAGACATTGCTCTGCCTAACGGAGCTGCCAGAGCGGATTACTCAGTGGGAGCTTGGGAGGCAAAGAAAAGGGAAAAGGTAAAATGGCAGCAGACCACCAAGTTCAGGACTGCGCAGGCAGTGCACGGCAGAGAGCCGGGGGCGGAGGGGAGCTACTCAGTGACACCGCTCCCGTTCCGCGGTACGGCTCCTGCCGGCTCGGCGGAACGGGTCGCCAGTCCCCGAGCCACCCCCCGGCTGCCGCTGGCCTCACGCCCCGGCCGCGCCTCTCCCTCCTGCGGCTGAGGGCAGACGGAGCAGCCGGGAGCAGCCGCGCGTTCCCCGCCCGGCATGTGCCCGCTCCCTGCGGCCCGGGCCGGCGGGCGGCGAGCGAGCCCGGCGCTGTATTTTGCAGGTCGGTGGCTGCGGCGGCGCTGCTGGACAGCTCCGGAGCGCGACGCGGCGCCCATGTTCCGGAGACGGCGCAGATGTGAGTAGGGATCCGGGGAGGGCCGCCGGGGAGAGCCGCGGCGGAGCCCCTTAGCCGACGGGCGGGGGAGATGCCGGAAGCGCTCCCCGTCCCCGGGAAGCCCCGGGTTTCCGCGGCGCGGGCGGGGCGGGCAGGGCGGGCGGGGGGCGAGGGCAGTCCTCAGCGGCGGGGGCGGGGGCGGGATCCCCGCGCGGCGGCTCCGCGCCCCCGCTGACGGCGCGGCCGCCCCGCCCCCGCCAGGTGACGTGATGCCCGTTGTTTTGGTGCGCCCCACCAATCGGACACGGCGATTGGATTCTACGGGAGCCGGGATGGGCCCGTCGTGGCGGCAGCAGGACGCTCCCCTGCCGACCGTCACGCATTGCGCAGGGTGCACCACCGCCCGGTCCTCCTGCGGCTTTAACGGCCCCGGCATGGACCCGCCGCGCCACTTCCCGGCGGGCTTCGGCCCCGAGCAGCAGCAGCAGCACCAGCAGCAGCAGCAGCAGCAGCGCCCGCCGGCGCCGCCGCACTGCCAGCAGCAGGGCCAGGACAAGCAGAGCCTCCTCCAGCAGCAGAAGCAGCAGCAGCAGCAGAGCCCGTGCCTCCAGTGCAACAACTGCGCCTACTACGGGGCTGCTGCGGCTGCCGCGGGGGATAACCTGCCCCTGCTGCTCCGCGCCTCCTCGCCGCTTTCGGGCGCCTTTCGGACGCACTCCTCGCCGCTGTCTTCCGCCGCCTCCTCCCGGCACGGCAGCCAGCTGAACGTCAGCGAGTTCACCCCGTCCAGCCATGCTGGCGCGTCCAGACAGCCTCACCAATATTCCCAGTACCACCAGTGCCATAGCCTGCAGCAGCAGCAGGCAGCCAGCCCCAGCAGCAGTGTCAGCAGCAGCAGCACTCACCATCATCATCACCATCACCATCACCACCACCATCACCAGCAGCAGCAGCGCCGAGAGAGCAATCCCTTCACCGAAATAGCCATGAGCAGCTGCAGGTACAACGGCGGCGTCATGCGGCCGCTCAGCAACCTGAGCTCGTCCCGCAGGAACCTGCACGATCTGGACTCCGAGTCGCAGCCGCTGCAGGCGCCGCTCGCCAGCCCCGCCGCCGCCGGCTCTGCCCCCGCCGCCGGCAGCCCCGCCGCCCCGGAGATCGTGGTCTCCAAGCCCGAACACAACAACTCCAACAACCTGGCGCTGTACAGTTCCGCCGGCCCCGGCCCCGGCACGGGAAGCTCCAACAACGGCGGGGGCAAGTCCAGCAAGAAGAAGAACCAGAACATCGGCTACAAGCTGGGACACCGACGGGCTCTCTTCGAGAAGCGCAAGCGCCTCAGCGACTACGCGCTCATCTTCGGCATGTTCGGCATTGTCGTCATGGTCATCGAGACCGAACTCTCCTGGGGCGCCTACACCAAGGTACCAGTTCGGGCGGCAGCCGGTCCCGCCACCCGCCGCCCGCCGCCCCCGCCCCGTCCCCGTCCCATGGTGTCCCCGCTGTCCGGTGGCGCGATGCCTCCCCGGGCCGGGGTGGCGGTGGGGCGGAGCGGCCCCCGCGCACGGGTTCTCTGAGGAACGGCGGTGTCTTTCTCTTGCAGGAGTCTCTGTATTCCCTCGCTCTGAAATGCCTTATTAGCCTCTCCACGATTATCCTGCTCGGGCTCATCATCGTGTACCACGCAAGAGAAATCCAGGTAATATTTTCTTCTTTCCTTGCTGGCTTAGATGGGGGGGTGCGAGGCAGTTTGTCCAGAGGAGATGTGATGGTAAGTACTGGACATGTCCTGCCGCTTCAGAAAGCAAACGTGGTCTCTGCAAGCCTGCCGAAGTTGGTGAATGGACCTCAGCCCTGGAGACGGGCATCAAACGACGGGCAGGGAGCAGCCAGGAAGCTTTGCCTGCTAAAGAATTCTGCCTGCTAGGGAATGTTGCCTGCAGTTGTGCTAGAGGATTGCCTAGCCTTGAAGTTATAACCTGCTTTCTAGGTGATGTGCCTGTTGGCTCCTGTAGCAGGTGTACAGCAATAGTCTTTTCTTTTTCAACGACTAAATTTAATGCTGTGCATTTTCTCTTGACGGCAAGGTTAATGGTCTTCACTGTGCAAGGTATGTAATGCTCAGTGAGGTGTCTGAAATAGGAGCATACTCTCGGAGAGTGTTTAAAAGAAGGAGGGAGATTGATGTTTGGTTTGTTTTATTTAATGCTGTAGTGTCTAGGAATGTGACTAGAGAAAAGTGTTAGGAAGGATAGGACAAAAGGTAAGAAAAACATAATGGTCAAAGCTGTAGAATAAATCTCACAGCTACCATTGCGGCTTCTGTCCAGGCAACTTAGTCCTAATTTCAGCTGCCATTTTTTTGACCAAGAAATTAAAATGTAGCATTTCAGCTCAACCAGACTGTACAACAGACAGAATTCAAAGTTTTGAAGGGGAAAAAACCTTATTCAAAGATCTGGTGCTTTTGCTTTTTTGGATTAGAGACTCCTTGAGCTGAAGACTGAAATGTCAAGTTTCAAGGGCAATGAAGACTTTTCCACCTACCAGTCAGTTAAATAAAAAATAAAAAGTTAAGCATTGTGTGGTACAATTCTTCTTCTGTGCAAATGAATGCACGTAGTTTCAATATGAAATGGTACATAGTCTCCTACTTAGTGTTTGAAAAGTATTACATCACTGAAGACTTCTTGCCAAATTGAATCCTGTTGTACAGTCTTTGCCCACACAAAACTTCATTTCCTGGCTCAGAACACAGTTTTTCTGCATTAATGTCAAATATATTGAAAGCTGTTTAATGATATTGTATTGAATAAACAAGTGTTCTGGAGAGAGAGCAGATTTATAAACTACAAGAGTACTGATGAACATGTTTCTTTATCAGTACAAAAATAAATAAGTAGCACTTCTGCAGTGTGAGAGCCTTATCTGGTGTATCTTTCCACAAATGTTTCTTCAGGCATGAGCAGCAAAGCTTAAAACAAGCCCTCTCTAAATGTTTAAAATATTCTGTACATTTTTCAGAAACTTCAAGAATTTTATGGAAGATAAATAATTGAATGAAATAGTTGAATGAAAATGAAATAGTTGTAGGTCTGTGCAGGTACCCTAGCTTATACTGAGTACTTACTCCAAGATTCAGTTGTTTGTTGGGTTTTTTCAGGTAAAGATTTAAGAATTTTCATTGTCTTAGGAATCGGATCCCATATGGATCAGAAAGGAAATATTTTTTTTAAATTGTCAGTCCATTTTGGTTGTTTTTAAGCTGATTGTGTTAAGGAACTTTCTCATATATGCAACTCCATGGCAGGAGTTGTGCCATCATATGGCTTAATCCTAGTTAATGTAGTTTTCAGTGCTGTTGGACAGAACACAAGTATACCTGTCTGTAAAACAACAATAACCCGTGTTTCAGAATGAGAAACAACAGAAACTCAGTAGTCATGACAGTGCCTGGAGGAGCTGCAGCTTCAAGGGGTTCTGTCATTCACATCACAAATGAAAAGAAGTTCTCTGTTTCAAGTTTATTAGAAGGAAAGGATGTAGTACCCTCCATAGCTACTAGTTATATGCTCACTTTTGAATTTAAGAATAGTATGTTTTTCTGCACACACCTGACTTCTAAAAAATATGATGATAGGAGTGCAGAGCAAAGTCTATGTCAATTTATGGTAATAAAATTTATGTTGCACTAGACACCTGGGGAAAAAAGGTATCTTTAAAATCCCTTGGCTAAGTACATAATGTCCATAATGTTCTCCAGTCAGAAGAAGATACTGTGTAACCCTGATAATGTAATGTTTTTTAAATAACCTTTAAAGCAAATGTTCTGCCCTGTGCAGAAGAATGAATAAGGTCTGTAGAACAGAGCCCACAGATGGTTTGTTGTGTCCCGGAGGACTTTTTGCACCAGCTATTTGTCCGCCCAGTTCCCGTTGAAACATTCTTTTCTGATTATTATCTGAAACATACCTAAATATTTGTTATAATGTAAATAAGCAGGAATTTATTGTGAGAGGAACATTTGTTTCATAGAACAGAAGAAGGTGGCTGTATTCACCTTGCGGCTGTGGTGTCTTTAATACTCTGGTGAGAGCAAACCAACCTAAGCATAAGTAGATTTTTCTACAGAGCATGAAGCAAAAAAAAAAAAAAAAAAAAAAATTGGGAGATAAGGAGCTGACAGTTTAGTAATTATTACTGAGTGCAGGTTGAATACTGACTGAGAAACTCCTGGTGACCTAGAATGCTGGCAAGTGGAATTCAACTTTTTCATTATTTTCAGTAGCCTTTCACCTTGATTTATTGGTAGGAAGATCAAACAGCATTCTAGCATTCAAGGATGCCCATGGGACAGGGCCTAGCAGCACAGCAGGTAGCTTTAGTTTTCTCTTTAAGTGACATTGTTTGTATGCTTTGTTTGCAAAGTCAGCCAGTTAAACCAGTCTCTAGAATTTGCCTGCCCCAGACTTGCTTATTTTAAGGGAGGGACGTTTGTAAAGGTTCTTCCCAAGCCGAGAAGTGATACAGCAGCGTCAGACAACTGAGTTTTCGTCTTTTCCCGTGGTCAGAGCGCGGTGGCTGTGCGGGATGGAGCTGGAGCGCTCTGGGCATTGCTGGGGCGGTGTCGCCGCCGCCGGTTCAGCACCGCAGACAGCTCCGCGCGGAGCGACCGGCTCGGCGGGCGAGCCGGGTACCTGCGCGGCTTTGGCCGCGGCTGCTCGAGAACTTACACGCAGCTCTGCATCTGGCAGACCAAAGTCTCCAGAAGGGTGGTTAACGGCAGTGTTTAGACAAGGCTAAGTGTAGAGATGCTGTGTAGTCTTTATGAAATACTGGAACTGTTTAAACGTTTTCGACAAATATGTTTTCAGTGATGGCACTGTATTAGCCAGACTCCAGGAGTAAAAATGTGAGCTGTTATGAATTTTAATAAATGTGAGTTAGTGTTAAGAATACAATGAAAGTCAGTTGATAACAGTTGGGTTCAAATGTTAATTCATAGCTTACTTTATAATTTCTAGAAAAGAGGATAAAAATTGTGAGCAAGTTTGCTTCACATCCTTCCCCCTTCTAGAAAAAATCCTAATGAACAAAAGTTACAGAGTTGGAGTTGAGGCTCATAATAACTCCAAAATGTGTGTTCACTTTTGGTTCCGTTTTTGTCATGCCTGTAGTGCTGTTAAAAACATTACAGTTGTGAGATAATGAAATATGGATTGCTCTCTCCCCAGGTCTATGTGGTTGTTGATTCAGTTCTTCAGAACAAGTGCTTTGTGTTTGAAAGATCAGTGGGGAAAATGTAATTCATCATTATTCCAGCCTAGAACAGGTATTTCTCTGACTCTTACTCTGGTTGAGAGTTTGAAGAAGTGAACAGGGAAGAGCTAAAAAGACAGCATTACTCAATTATCATAATAATTTTTGATGTATTAATTATCCACTTCATGCATAAACAGTTTGTTACTTAATACTATTTTACATAATCAAAGCAGAGGCAATATGTAACATAATTAAAATTGTATTCTTTAGAACTTACTGTTCCAGTCCACATTTCTCTACTGGAATTCAATCCATAAATATAATAGAATTTAAGAAAATTTTGGATCCAGTTTACTTGGTAAAGCTGCAGTTTTTCTAATTTTATTTGATAGTGGATCTCTCTGCCTATCTCTAGTATGGTTGAAGATTGAATGCTTTTTAACTATGCACCCCTGAACTAGTACTGATACTTTCTTGTATTGCTAAGAGCAAAAGGATTAAATCAAAAGTCTCTGAGACTGCCATTCAGAGGTCTTTAATGTCTTTTGTTGGGCATTCTACCAGAGCCGAGTATTTCTTGAGAGATGGTGGTCAGCAAAAGAATATATCCACTGGAACTCTTCTTTAATGCTGGACTGCTTAGTGTACCTTCTCTGTAAATAAACATACTGCCTGTCCTGAATAATAGTAACCTGAGTATTGCTAACCTGTGCTGTCTCAGACAGCATCTGGGCTTCTTTTTCTTTTCCCTGGTACAGATCCTGTCACTCATGCAGAAACATAAAATTTGTTGGTATTTGTTAAAGCAAATAGAATTTTTTTGTGCGTGTGTGTGTATCAGCTGAGGTTTCTAATAATTTTTAAAATATATTGCTAGTTCATGCTTTGATAGAACACCAGTGGCAAGGTTTGCAAACTACAAGGTTGAAGTTAATTTATTGCTTGCATAGCAGAACCTCAGAGGGTTGCAAGGGAAAAGCAACATCAGTCCCGATGGTCTGAAGTGGTGGGAAAATAGCATGCTATTGATAGATTTGGAGTGGAACATTTTCAGTTGTCATTACCTTTCTATAAAATTACCACAGCTGAGAGCCCAAATGTCTTGCTGAAGAATCAAGGATCTTGATTGCCTGAAAACTTGAAAAAGTAGAACAAGCAGTAGCAGGTAACAGAAAAGAACAGTAATAAATGCATATTAACTGTTTATTATGCAAATACATCCCATAATATATGATTATAATAAACACAGTTTATGGGAGTTTCATTATCTTACTGGCATCAGTGGAAAGTTTTGTGGTAAAAATTGTGCACTTGTGAACAGTTACGCTCCCTTAGAGTTTCTTGTCATAAGAAGTAATGCTTATTCTACAGACCAACTTTTTTTTTTTTTTTAAGTTATCTGTTATTTATTTGTTTCTATCCATGTCATTATTTTAC